CTTTTCCAGACTACATATGCATGTCATGTCAGCCTTTCTATTTAAAATCCATTAAAATAGAGCATAGCTCAAAACATCTTCCACCAAAAACAAGGTTGTTCAATTTCCACAATAAGAACAGATAATGAGAGCAACAAGCATGAGTTTTTTGAAGAAACAACTATTAATCCAACCAAAGGACAAACCAATGTGTTATCAGAAATAATGGTCTTGGATAGAGAATTTGCTGTGTCTGATGCTTTAAACTTTAAAGCAGGTATTTTTACAGATGTGTTGAATGAAATAATGATACAAACTGCTCCAAGAGAACCAGGAGATGCAGGAAATGAAAATGAAGTACAGTCATCACCTCTGCCAGTTTATACAGTTTTTCAAACAGTTATTTCATGTATTTTTCCATGGACAGTGTCATTTACTCAGCACACAACAGATAATACCATGAAGGTTACTTTTTCTCTTCCAAATATCGGAAAAGGTAATTGTAATAACCAAGTGGAAGGAGTTAACCCTTTTTCTTCCTTCCGAAATAAGAACATTTCCTTCAAAGGATTTAAGTCCATTTACAGCAGAATTCTTGGGTAACAAAATTGACCATGGGGAACTCCCACACAATATTTTTCAAGAAAACATATTAAAATCTGCTTTGTGTGTCATGCTCAAAACTATTGAAATGATCCAGCCCTTGCTATATGGCTGAAAGAAAAACCTGTCCATTCAAAAACCAGATTCAACAAATGTCAAGATATTTTACGATCTTGCTTTATGTTCTTTGCGACACTTGATGAACCCACAGAAAGTGAAAAACTTGTAATGCAGACCAAATCTTACATTTCTGATGCATTTGATTATTTGCATGAATTTCAAATGGTCAAACACCCAAAATCTTTGGGAATATAGGGAATTTGACAGATCTCTCATGCCAAAATCCAGGGGCACCCAACGAGAGTATAGTTCAAAACCACATAAACATAGCATTGTTGAACGTACTTTAGTATTTAAACGGTAGATAAAGGCTTATTTTTATCCCCTAAAAATTTTTCATCTGTTCGGATTTCCTAGCTGAAAGTATAGTGATCAGAAAATTATAGGGATCAAAATTTACCTTTTCGAAAATTTCAGCCAGAAAAAAGGCTCTCGAAAATTCTAGGTGACCTTTTTAGGGTAAAAATCTGTTAAAAATGGGCAATTACACGATTTTTTTGAAGTTCGAAAATCCTAGGAGAGGCAGGCAAGCAAGAAATTTGTCAGAAAATGATCCAAAAATTCTAGACCTCAAATCGTCTTCCGAACAGATAATTTTCCGAAAATTGTCGTTGGGTGCCCCTGAAAAGCTGGCAATTATCACGATCATCTTGAACAAGTAAGACGTTTCATTTTGAAAAATGGTTTTCAAGAACCAATAATTATATCATGTGATCTTACAACTGGAAAAGCCTATATCACTGAAGGAAACCATCGTCTTTGGGTGGCCATTCAGGAAGGTATACCATTCACACCATGTCATGTTATTCCTCACTGGCTGCCCCCCAATGGCTCTTACAAAAAGCTTGAAATTGATTTTTCCACTTTAAAATTTGGGGAAACAATACTTCCTGAACAATTGGGATTGACTGTTGCACAGATTGGTTTCAATAAGTGCATAAAACAATAACCTTCACAAAAGATACATCAAATCTATTTCTGTTTGTATGCATAAACTTGAACACTATCATAATTATAGTGTTCTTAAATTAAAAATAATTAGTATTAATTTGTTGATTTTAATATTTTGTACTTTGACAACACTTATTCCTTGCATCCCTGATCAAAAATTATTTAATGAAATATTGCAGTTAATATTGTACAATGCAGTTGCACATAGATTCTAGACTAGCAGTGTTATCCCTCTAGCATTAATATACGGAGAGACTGTTGAAGTCTAACCGTTTGCAGCCGTTTGTAGAGCCTGAACATTAATTTTATAACCTGCATGCATTTCAGTAGACTACGAGTAGTCCCCCATTTCTCCTCAGGGATAGTAGAGCGAGCGAAACGCGAGCGCGCGTGAAAATCACCCCGCGCGAAAAAAGACGGCACGCTCGCTGTACTATCCCTGAGGAAAAATGGGGGACTACTCGTAGTCTAATATTTCAGGAGCTATCTATTTGCCACGCAAAAATGACGTTTTCCTGATGTTGATTCATGCACAAAACATGCACATAAGTCTCCTCTTGTTAGAAGTAAACGAGGAAATTTCAAAACTTACCACTGATCAGACTGATCTCTAGTGCCAACCTGTTGCAGCAGGTAGTGACTTGATGTAAGCCGCGCCAGCTTACATTTATGTCGTCTCCGCATTTTTTCATTCCATCGACTTTAAAGGGATTGATGAGAAGAACTACGCACTCTGGCTCGCTGAAACTCGGCGTACATTAAGCTCAATGTATCATATACCAATCCTCGTATTCGGAGATCAGGATATTGCCACACCACCTCGCACGTTGCCCGAAAGCGATAAACGATCATACAAACTGTGCCAATTTATAGACACTTCGCGGTACCTTTCTTTGCCTCACAGGGGCGGATCTAGGGGGAGGGTGCAGGGGGTGCGCAACCCCCCCGAGATGAGCTGCGGTTTTCTAATACAACTGATATTCTGCCAAAAAAAAAACTATGTGGTTTATTGGTGTTGAAGAAGAGCAGAGTACACCCCCTCCTAAAAAAAATCCTGGATCCGCCACTGCCTCATGTGGTGTTTTTGAAACTTTTCCTGCCTTAACCTTATCGCGAATATTTCCATGTTATTTTTCAAAGCTCCACGTTATTGAAGAAGGCAAAAGATGAATCCGAACATTCGGAAAATTGACATCCTTTGCAACGTAACGAACAAGAAATTTGCCCGCCATTTTGAAAATCACCGATGTATGAAGTGACGTCACACTGGCAGTGATTTACCCTAGAGCTGGCTTTTTATCGCTCAAAGCTTTCTTCAACAGCCAGAATTATAACTAAATATTCTTTGGAACGTTTTCTTTCTATTTGAGGTGAGAAAATTTCAAAAGGCTTTTTAAAGTTCTGTAAGCTTATATCAAACCTGATACTCGGTCAGATCGTTGTCTCGAAATCTCACAAACGTGAATAAACTAAATAAACTAGGGGTACCTTCCGGCAAGTGCCAACGAGGCGAATTCGATAACCTTTTGTGGGATGTGCCTAACGGTCCTTCGTGAATCGGTGGACAATTTTAGGGGTTTTAAATTGATTTGTCTATTATTAATAAAGCCAAAATAAGAATTAATACAGGAGATTGTAAAGGGACTGTAAAAGGGTGGGGTGGTACGCCCTTATATTGCCTATACGGGAATGTGCCGCTGGACTGGGTATGGTTTTTGACCTCTCCGTCCCCTATTGTGTTTTTACTCTACAGTAATTGCCAATAAATTCATAAATAGCTTTAAACACGACGGCGCTTTTTTCGTTTATCCTAAACGGAGTATATAATTGGCGTTGTTGACCTAAGAGGGTATGTATTTAAGGATATTTTTGTCCTAAACAGGGTCAGGGTTTCAAACCTCGGCGGTTCACCTATACCTAAATATTGGTTGAGTAACCCCCTGTGGGGTTGGAAACAACAACTTTGGTACATTCTAGGTCAACCTGGTCACAGAAGCTTAAAGCGTCTTTGGTAGCAAATCTTCACTGCAAATTTCATTTTATTTACACGATAAACGTTAGGTAATCAATCTTTGAGAATTGAACTTGAACAAGTTAATAACAAGCTGTGTCTACTGTCTACACTTCAGCAGTGCTTTGTTTGAAATCATTGAAATCAATGTATTAAGTGCCTATATGGTTGTTTTCTTTCATGGTATGAAACAAGAAATACAACAATTGAATTTGTACAAACGAATTTTTAAAATTCGTAGCACGTCTCAGTAATAAATATCAAAGTTTTATAACGTTCTTTTAGATAGCAAAAAATGTAGGTATCAAAACTATGAACGCTTTGATTGTATTGGTCGGTTCACGAACTTAAATAACAGTTTCTTTTTCACTTTGTTTCACTAGAGTTCACATGTCATTTTTTCATCCCATGAAAATGGGATGTTAGTTAATGAGAGCAAGCACCAGTGTCTAATCCTCGGTGATACGGAGTATGGTTTTTCCTTCCCAGTAAAGGACACGTTAGAGATTTTTGGAATGGAAATAGATAATAATCTGAATTTTTCTAAACATATATCAAATGTATGCAAAAAGATTAATAATCAATTTAATGTTATGTTGCGCTTTAGAAAACTCATACGCAAGGAAATCTTATTCAAACTTTACAAAGCGTATATTTTACCTCACTTTTATTATTGCTCCTCTGTCTGGCGCTTTTGTGGAGCGCGCGATGCGGATAAGCTTGAAGCTTTAAATAAAAGAATACTTAGATTTATACTTGGAGATTACTCGTCTCCATACAACACTCTTCTCTCAAAAGTCAGCTCTACTTCTTTATTTAACAAACGCATTCAAAATTTCCTCATATAAGAGTTTGTTTTTCACTCATTTTCCTACTTATATGAAGAATATGTTTTCACTCCGGTCCTCTTCCTATGATCTTCGTGGCAACTACATTCTTTCACTAAGTAAACCTAAAACAACTACCTATGGTCTTAACTCCTTTTCTTACTTTTCAGCTAAGCAGTGGAATGCACTGCCGGACTTTTTTCGTACCAGTTTTTTTGCAGACTTTAAGACTAAAATACAGGATGTTACCTTCATGTTGATTCTTTTTGCCTGACATACTTGAACTTAAAATTGTGAATTGTAAATGATATTTTCTTTCCTTGCATTTAATGTATATATATATATTTTCTATATAGTTTTTATGTAGTGTCAGCTCGAAGATATTAGCTTGTCAGCTACTCTAAAATTCGAGTATAAATAAAGTTTTATGTTATGTTATGTTATGAAATTCTTTAACTTTGTCCACAAAATGGTTGATTTGTTTAGTACCACAGTACTTCCTGTGGAAATTACAAGTTTAGTTCTTCTTTGACAATGTTCCGTTGGGAGTTGTATTTCAATTTGACATCCTTTAGGCTCATAAGGGCATCTTCTATTTCATCTATGGTGCTGCTCATACTTGCTGTTGTATTCTTCAGGAGGTTTTCGATATCATTTGTAAATGCAGTGAGCCACAATTCCGATTCATTGTGTTGAATACACAGCTTGACAGAGTCTTCCCGCCTGCAGTTGATGATCCTTTGTCGCACTTTGCAGTTTTGGCATCTCACTGACTCGCCCGACTCATCCCCAATTCGTTTTTTGCAAAGTTGGCATGCACTAAAAATGCTTAAACTGGCAACATATTTTAGTTGACTTGCAATGATCTCTCTTTCTGGATTTGTCAATATTTCTGGGCCCACTAATTTTTTGAGAGTTGTGGTTTCCTCACTGTAAGTTGTATTCCTGTTGGTGCTAAGGAATTTTGATCCTTGATAATACCGTAGTGTGAGGTTTTGAAAGTAATAGGCCTCGTTGCTTTTCAGTTGTGTAAATAACGGTTCCCATATGTGGAGTTCCATTGTGCCCGTTTCGTCTTCCAATATGCAGTCTTCTTTGACAGATAAAGCTTGACTGGATTTGGTTTCTATCTTGTTTGGCTCCTGGGCTCCCATTGACAGAGTTGCATGGACGTTGACTTTCTGATTGGGCGCCATTTCTTTCAGTTCTCGTAAAGAGACATCAGACGCTTCCTGTGATGTTGATTCGGAACGTTCTGACTTGACAAAATTTGGTACATAGGAGAATGGTACATCAGCATTTGCACACTGCGAAACATAGGATTGCTGGTTGAAAAGCCAGTCGTTGTCTTCATCATCTGGTATAAGAAGGTTCTTTAACAAGACGGGAGACTTGGTTTCTTGGACGTGCTTGATCTTGGGATGTTTTGTTTTGTCAAATCCAACTACTCTTTGCACTTTAGTCGGTGAAACTTGCAGGTGAAAGTCAAACCAATCATGTCTGGACCTTGCAGCGGTTTTGAGGGGGGATAATTTTTGGATGTACCAATACTTGTTTACTAAACGAAAGATAAGCAAACAAATTCAGGATGCATGATCATCAATGCGCTTACAGTGACAGCAACAATAACACTATTATCATCATTACAGTTAAAACAACAACACATGCTATGCTATCTTAGCATAGTTTGCTTGAACATTTGTCAAGTGTCTTGAGCTACAAAAGGTTTTCCATCTTTGTCCCCACTTTCCCATCTTATCAAACATATAAGCTCTTTCATAGGGAACATCAACTTGAATAAAATTTTACAACTTACCCCTAGACTGCTTCCTTGCTGACATCATGAACTGTAATTTTTAAAAGTAACAATAACGTGTTAGCAACTCAGTTTACAAATAATTCAATTCAGTTACACATAAAATAAGCACCACAGTGAGAATCACCTCAGAAAGTTATAATGTTTTTATACAAGTGGAAACCTGAAAATAATGATATTAATTAAAATGACAACATCAATGGAAATAACAAAGAGGTATAGAGTAAATCAACTAGTAAATAAAATCACCTTTCAATGGTGTTCTAGAGGCTTCCTGTGAACGTGCTTAGTTGACCAAAATGCAAAAACCTTGCGACCTAACGTCCAGGTTGCTACAGTCAAACCCTGTTAATATGAACACTGAGGGGGTCAAAGAAAGTGTCTGTATTAACAGGTCCATATTAAGCACGTTGAATTTAGATAAAAAGAAAAGGCTTTCTTTCCTTGACGACAAAGCAAACTGTTCATAATAATGAGGTGACTGTGTCTCTTAAGCACCTGGTACAAATATATGGTTCCTTTTTCTTTTTTGTTTTAATGTGAAGTGGCCATGCTTCATGACAGCATTGACATAAAGAAATTCTTAACTTCATCGAATCATGAAACTTTTGCATGTTCAGTTTTGCCCAGTCTTGTTGGTGAAGCTCTCCATAGTTACTTATTTTAAACTCAGATAAATACATTTCCTGGCTAGAAACCCCATTTTTCAGACTTGTTACTCCTTCAGTCATTACACTACTATCTGATTTAATTTTCTTGAGCCTGTATGCCCGCGTGTACAACTTTTTTTCTTTCCTTCACTTCAGTAGATGTTTGTGAAGACCTTTTTCTTATTTCCTGTTTAGGTCGTTTAATGTTTTCATCTGCATAATATGTATCACTTGAGGAATTAATGCTTTGACTTTTCCGCTTCATTGTAAATTTAATTACTAAATCATTTCTTTGGTTTTCATTTCTTTTACGTATTTCTAATTTGCCCCTTTCGTTTAAGTCAAGTTCAGAATAAGTTTTAGCTCTATACTTCTGCTTGTATGCATTATTTTTTGCCTTGACTTCCGGCTGTTTTCTGTAACACTTCATATAGTTATTACATTTGACTCTGTTATCCTTTTTATAACTTGTGACTTTTTGGTCTAACTTTACTTCTTTCGTACTGCAAGAGTCTTTTGAAACTGATTTGCAAACAACTGGATTTATGGTAAAGCTATTGCAGATGTAAATTGATGACTACAGACTCAGACTTTTGAAATATGGCAAAAAACAGCCATCCGGATAACTATACAATACTTCTTGAAAGGATAAGAAACGCCTTACAGAAACACACAAATCATCAATATAGATCCAACCGCTCTCACTTTTTAAGGCACAGTAAAATGTCAATTTAAACACCTAACAATTCCTTTGAGGCAGTATGAAACTCCTAAGGAAAAAACATTTGAGTTGTACAATCAGGTGACAATTCTATCGTTAAAAAGGTTGGCAGGCACACAAAGTGTCGAAGTGAAGCAACACTTCTAGAGTGATTTTGGCAGTAAACACAAAAAAGTCTATTGATGTTTGGCAGCATAGCTTCTGATACAGAACTTTCAAAACCATTCTGATTTATATGGCGATAGGTAATATACAAGACAAAAACATCTGTGGATTTGGTAATTTCCTGGTTACACTCTGAACAAATGGAATGATTGGTATGTTGAATAAGAAATAATGATTTTAAACCAAACGTTAATTCTCCAAATGTATTGATTTGGAATATGTCACTGAATACAGCATTATCTGACATACCTGTAAAAGAGGCACAGTGCTGTCTCATCCAGGCCCAAATGGGTTCTCGGACTGAATGTAACTGGTTGGAAAGGATTTCACCACTATTTACTCGCACACATATTGTGTATAGCATTTCAGAAAATTCATTACGTTCCACAGACTCAATAGCATCTTTAAAAATGTAACAGCTTAACTGTAACAATCAATTGCACATGAGAAGTTTCCTGGAAAATCAAGGCAGTAATTCCTGAAATGCATTTGCTCAACGTTCTTGTAAATGTGGTTTGGTTTGGGAAGATTTACGGAAGTTTGAATCCTTTGACAATGCTGGATTTCCATTGACCAAATGTGCTTTTTTGTTTGTTATTATGTAAGGATTAAAACTACCATTTGAAGCATATGGAATTCTTCTAGACAAATATTTCCGTTTGTAATAGGTGACCGTATATAAGCACGGGCCACAACATCTAATTTTGTGTAATTGTAAATCGTCACTTAAACAAGAACGCGGAGGTTTAATTATGGAGCAACTGCTTCCACAAATAACGAGTGATACAATCAGCATGAAGTAGTAAACATGAAACATGACAAAGTTGGTATGCGACTGAACGCTCGCAGTGATGAAGCAATGGAAACTACGTGTTTGTTTTGATTTAATACGCAACGCTGGCGTTTAAGGATTTTTTTCTGCTAAAAGATGTAAAAATAAATCACTTCGCTTCTTTTCTCGTAAGTCTTCAGAACGTCTCAGTCGACGAAAGAACACCTCGTTCGAAATTGACAGGCAAACACACAGGTGCGAACACGCTGGTTCAATGCGAATCGAGCGACGAAGAACACGCTGGTTCTAATAAAAATTTGAGCGTAGAATCCTATTCCTTGATCAGCTACCGCTTAAAATTCAATTTACAAAGGAAAAGAGAGCACTGCAAACCCTGGTTCTGAATAGAGAATGTATAAAGCAAACACACTGGCTCGAATGTAAGCGTGCGAAGAACAAGCTGGCTCTGACAAAAATTTGAGCGTAAAACCCTATTCCTTGATCAGCTGCTACTTCAAACGCAATTTATAAAGCAAACCAAACCACTAATAGCCTTTTCAAATTAGAAATCTTATTAAAACTTGCTCACCTGTTAGGTCATCGACCTTCTCCGATGGACAACTAACAGCTGCACACTGGACCATGCACGCAATCTCAAACCACGAGTTATAAATACAAGACCATGAAGTTACTGCCCAAATATGGGGTCTTACTTACACCCAAATATGGTCAAAAATGCAAATTTTAGAGGGTTACGCAGAATTTGAGGGGTTTTGCCCACATTGCGCGGCGTTATGATCTGCCGCCGAGTCAACCTCGCTTCTTAGCTCGGTTGCCTCGTTGGCAATTAAATTAAACTACGCTCGACTTAGATACAAAAAACAAACATCAAATACAATAATTACTCAGGCTTAAGTAAGGGCAGTATCGCTTCAGTCTTTCCAACCCTCTTACGCACCAAGCAAGGTGAAAAACGAAAACGATGTCATCCGAAATCGGATACCCGACTTTGACTAATACTATTCTTTGTAGATTTAATTTTTTTTCCTTTCCTAGAAAGTTACCCAGCCACAATTCCGTGCAAAGGAAAGACGATAAAGTGGGCAACAAAACTAAACACAAAAAAAGAAAGGAAAAGAGAGTGAGAAAGAAAAATCGAAACAGATTCGCCAAAAAAGCATGCAGTTTAATTACATCCGATTAGTCGGGAAATGTGCCCTAATTGTTGCAAAACTCATTTTAGCCATTTCCATGCTAATTGCCAGAACAAAAAGAAGAAGAAAACAAGTTTAAAAAAAGAGGAATTGGTTAAAAATGTTTATTTTCACTTTCGGTACTCGCTGGCCGTCTTAAAGTGTTGAACTTCCATTAAGTGTCTACCCTAGGGATATCGGCAAATGGCCACTCAATGAAAGTTGGCAGCTCAGTAGAGGTTCGCCATAGATTGGCATAATCTTTATCAGAAGCATCACTTTACTTTAAAACAAACACTCGACTTTACTGCTAGCAACAACAGCAACGTCCAATCTAATAAGCTGCCTGATTCATTACTCGGAGTTTTTTCTTCAGAGGGCTACTCAGGCCACATAAGGCATGACTACCTAATTAAATATGCAACAACAACAACAACATAAGCTTTATTTGCATGACTATAATTATGTAGTTACAGTATTGCAAAAGCTTTAACATAAAAAAAAAACAAACAAACAGACAAACAAACAAATCATAACAATGATAATGCAATGCAATGATTACTATAGTCAATCAAGTGTCATCAGCATGATTTGATAACAAATTATTAAATTAAATTAAATTATTAAATTTCAACAAATGTGAATTTACGGAAAAATTCTGTGAATTCATCAATTTAATTATTAATTCTGTGTAAGATAGCTGATTAAAGTCGACAAAATTTTGTTGGATTTGATTGTAGAATTTCTCCCTTGGGATTGAGTATTTTGGACAATGGAAGAGAAAATGAAATTCGTCTTCAATTATACCAGAGTTACAAATAGGGCAGAATCTATCGTTGCGGGAAGTTTGATTATATCTTCCAGTTTCAATCATGAGTTTGTGGTTACTTATACGAATTTTCACTAAATCTTTCCTATTAGCAGAATTTCTAATTAAGTCTAGATAACTTGAAATTTTATAATCATGTTTAAATAAGCTGTAAAATTGTAGTTTCTGAGAATGATGGATTGTATGTTGCCAATAGGCAATATATTTTTGTTTTATTATATCTATATAGTGTTTGATCTTAGCTTCACTTAAATTATTAGGATCAAAATCAGGGAGGTCATAATATTCAGATATTTTCATAAGATTATGGTAAAAGCTATTTTTACCATTACAGTGAAGTTCTAGCGAAGTACGAAAGGCTTGTTTAACAATAGTATCCTCGTTTTTACGCAGAAGATACAATATGTACTAAAGGATGTTTTTATAAATATTAATAATTAATGGCAACCGTCCTAATTGACTTGTACTTGCAACATTTGAAGCTTTATTGCTTATTTCTAGGTAACGCTTGCAAAATTTCAAGTGGGTTTTTTCAATTGGGGTATTGTCCCAAGCTTTAAAATCATGTTTTACATATACACCCCAAATTTCGCTACTATATGATAATATTGGGGAAATCATCGTTTCAAACATTTGGCAAGCAAGAGAAGGTTTTAATTTGCTAAAGTTTGTGTGTTTTCTTAAACTAAAAAGAGCATGCAGAGCCTTCTCTTTCAAGTGTTCGAGTGAGATATTAAAATTACCGGTTGAGGAGATACGGGTTCCTAAATATGTATATTCATGGCAATATCAATGGTTTCCTTACCTATATGGAATTCTAGATTGGAGTTTTTCTTCGCTCGTTTTTGAAAGACCATAACTTTGGTCTTTTTGGAATTTATATCTAACATCCAAGAGTTGCAAAAAGAGGATATTGTGTTGAGACAGTTCTGTAATCCTATTTTAGATGGTGATATAATAATTAAATCATCAGCATATAAAAGAGAATTTAATTTGGTACCGTTTGGAAGGATGATAGAGTCCGATAAAGTATTTTGAAATGCGGACGGTAAGTCATTAACGTATAAATTGAAAAGTAAGGGGCTTAAAATACAGCCCTGGCGTACGCCTCATGAACAGCTAAAAGATTTTGTTTGACTCGTACCTATTTTCAATGCACACGAAGAGTTTGAATATAGGTTTTGGATTAACTTATAGAAACATCCCCCTACACCAATTTGTAATAATTTATGTAAAAGTCCGTCATGCCAGACTGAGTCAAAGGCTTTTCTAAAGTCAACAAAACAAACGTATACTTTCTCACCGTGACAGTGGACGTACTTGTCTATAAGAGTTCGTAATGTTAGGAGGTGGTCTGATGTTCGATTTTTAGGTAAGAAGCCGATTTGAGACTTGTGGAGTATGTTCAGCGAAGTGACGTGTTCAAGAAGTCTTTGGTTTAAAATTGAAAAGAACAACTTTCTTAGACAACTAGAAACACAAATCCCGCGGTAATTTCATGGGTCATTTCTTACGCCAGATTTAATTATGGGAGTTGTAAGACCGTTGCACCAATTTTTAGGCACTGTTCCTAAGTTAAGAACAGTATTAAAAAGTTTATGGTAAACAGGTAGCAGTGTTGGTAAGCTAGCTTTAATCATTTCGTTTCTTATTTTGTCGGAGTATGCAGATTTGTTATTCTTTAATTTTCTTGCTGCCTTGGTTATTTCAGCTTCTGTTATGAAGTAGTCTAGAGGTCGTGATTGCATGAAGACTTCTTCTCGTGTTCTTAACTCACTGACAACTTTCTGTTGCTCAGAAGTAAGTGGCTTATTAGAATGTAGACACTGGAAATAATTCATCCAATTCTCTTCTGCAATTGGTGGAGTGTCTTTGTATTTTATAGTGTCATCCATTGATTTTAAGCAATTCCAAAATTTTTTAGTATCCAAATTGTATGTTATATCCTCTAATTCTGAAAGTTTATTGTTGTAATATTCATTTCTTTTATGTGCGAGTAATTTCTTATACTGCTGCAAAACAATATGATATTTTTCACGTAGAGTGGTATTTAAGGGATCTCTGTGTTTTTCATTTGACAATTTCCTTAATTCGTATCTTTTAAAGCGACATTCCTTATCAAACCACTTTTTATTTGAGCGTGAATAGGTGCGTTTATGTCGTCTCGTCGTTCTTATCTTTAGGCACCGTTTTGCCGTTGTGATAAGAATATTTTCTACCTGTTCCGCGGAAGTGTTAACATTTTTAGCTGAATTGATGTCACTTAAATATTCGTGAATTATCATTTGCAAATTTGGAGATTGAAGAGCTGCTTTGAATTTTGGTGTGGAGTCACTTTCCCAGATAAATTGTTTTGGTAATCGTGTTAAAGTATCACTCTCTGGTGAAGGATCTTGATTACGAATATCGGTGTCAGTACATAACCAGGTCACCAGTGGACTATGATCCGATAAATACGTGGGCATATTTTGTTCAAAGCTATTTAGAACGGTTTGCTTCCATCAGTGATCCTGGAAAGTGAACTAAAAGTGTGGCTCAACGAAAAAAAAAAAAACATGAAACGTGATTTCAAATAACACGTGGCATTGCTTCGTCAGTGACATCACAAAACAAGTTTTCCTAAACGG